TATAAAACTTTTTCATAGTTGTGATAACAATTTTGTTCCTTGCTTTTATCATAATGGAAGGTATGAAACCATTATTTTAAAGGGCTCTAAAACATTATCAAGGATATGTGTATAATTTTCCTGATAAGGACAATAATTACAGCAGAACAATTTGCAATCTATTCTCTTTCACTCCACTACCCCCTTGAAAGGAAGTTTCTTCCCACAGTTGAGTGGTGCTGAGCAGGGTTGTAGCTGGAGATGCAGAACTAAAGAAACCAAGAGAAGGGGGCGCATCATACTACATAGTGGCACAGACCACACCAGAGGGTAGGGACTACGGGAAATGGACAGAGGATTAGGGAGGGGCAGCTGGTTCTGTGATATAGCCTTTTCCACACTGTGGTGGTTAATCTTGACTGTCAACTCCATCAGTTTGAGAGAAGCCTACAAGATGGGATTAGTAATGCACACTTCTGGGTGTGTCTGGGTGGCTCGTGGGGCATGGCCTTGGGGACCACAGCTAGGCCCTGGCTCCTTTTTCTCTGGTACCTTTGCCTTGCTCCCTGTTTCCCAGATGCCATGGGTTGAGCAGCTTCCTTCACTATGCCCTTCTGCCACGATGTTTCTGCCTTGGAGCAGCCGACATGGACCAAACCCTCTGAAACTGTGAGTCAAAATAAATCTCTCCTCCTTGAGGTTGTGGGTGTCAGATTTCTATGCCAAGACAGACCACACAGTAAGGTTATATCTACTTAATCCCACTGTTCAGTCTGAAATATTAAAACTCTGATATTTTAAATTCTTATTAATATTTATTGACAGTTATTATTTCTATCATAAGATTATTCCTCTAAAAACTGAAAAAACAGTTAAGCAAATCTTACCTGGGAAAAGCTTGCTTTTATTGTCAGTAGCATTTTTTTCTAGTTTGTTCCTTGTCTGAAGAGCAATTGTTTCATCCAAGTTTTCTGGAGGAATGAAGGGAAGGAATATCATTTCCTAAGAGATATTATCAAACTTTGTACTAAAAATGTTTAAATCTTATCAGAAATACCACACTAGCAATTCCAAAATATTATTGCTGCTAGCAATGTGCTCTGGCCTGGATTTAATTTCTAGGAATCCTGGACTCTGGGATAGACAGATACATAATCCAAGGTCATTAGGTTAACTGCAGAAGTCCCTTCTACATCTCCTTGGCCACGGCCAGGATACTTCCGGGGTTGTCACCTAGAGTGGATGCCTGTGCTTTGACCTACGCAGCACCTATGATCAGGGCACCCAACCCTCTGTCATTCTCTCTCTCTCTCTTTTTTTTTTTGTACCAGGGATTGAACTCGGGACCTTATGCTTGTGAGGCAGGTGGTGGAACCACTAGGCTAAATCCCCAGCCCCACCTCTGTCACTCTCAACATCAGCTCCAGCGTGGCTGAGTGGTCCTGGGCTGACTCGTCAGGATGGTCCCTGATTCTGGGCTACAGTGATTGGTTCAGAAAGGAGCACATGACTCCATCCAGGCCAATGAGAGGCAGTCTAGCGCTTTTGGGAAGAGATGCTCTTACAGGTGTTGGGCCAGCTTTGGTCTTTTATAACCTTACTAGAGATAACAGAGTCCTTCAGGACCAGGGATTTAGCTCAGTGGTGCTTCCACCTGCCTTGCCAGCATAAGGTCCTGAGTTCAATCCCCGGTACCAAAAAACCCCACAAAAAACAAGCAGGGATGGATGCAGCAAGTGAGGCCCCAAGACTCAATGCCTCCCACATGACCTGGAGCCAAGAGCCCAAAGTCCAATCAGGACTCTTAGTCCCAACCTTCCAAACAATGGAACAAAATTGAGTTAAATTTTAATCATATTACTATTATGGAAGTTATTAGAAAATGTTAATAATATTAAATACAACAAATGAGAAATGGTTATACTCAAGTTAGATCTGGAAAGACAGAGTTGAGGACTTCTGGCTAATTTCATTTGCATTCATCATTACACTGGGTAATTCTGGTTACTCAGGTGATTTGGGCTGCTTGGGCACCAATTAGCAAATGACTGAAGACGTTTTGCCAAATCCCTAATTGACTTTGAACAACGAACACCATCACAGTAAGAACAGAGTAGATGGGATTCTCACCAAGGTAGGCAACACCTTCCTCTGGCGAGATCGTGCCGTACTTGACCATCATCTTCACAAAGTCAATCAGAGTTTTCATGACAGTAATCAGCGTTTCCTTCTCTTTTGCCTCTTTTTCTACAGAAAAGGACAAATTCATTTAAAGAAAATTAGTGGAGAATAGCTTCATCTTTTGTACCAATACAGCATCTTATTAAACTATTTCTCCTTACCTTTATAGCTAAAACCACTTATATTTAATTTATATTTGATTCCCCCATTACACACACAGTGCAGATGAACCTAGAAAACCTGTTGCTCAGGGGAATAAGTCCGACATCGACAGACACCCTTCTTGATCCCAGCAAGAGTTGGCCCTTGCATCTGTGGATGCCATATGCAGGGACTGAAAATATTCAAGGGAAAAAAATGCATCTTTACTGAGCATGATGTTTTCTCCTCTCTGTTCCACAAGCAATACAGTGTAACAACCATTTTGGTAACATTTACACTGTGTTGGGTTTACAAGGAACCTAGAGATGATTTCAAGCACATAGGTGGATGTGCGTGGGTCCTGCAAGTATATTGCATAATTTCCTGTCAAGAACTCAAGCGCGTGAAGATGTGGGTATTTGAGGGAGAGGTGGACCAGTCCTCTGTGGATGCTGACAGCCAACTGTACTCGGAATCTGAGAGCCAAACTCACAGAAGCAGGGAGCAGGGAAGCTGCCAAGGCTGGGGAAGAGGAGGAGAGGAAATGTTAGTTTCTATTATACAAGAGGAAAACGTGTGGAGACAGACAGCATGGTGGCTGTCCTTAGCAGTACTGAACAGTGTGCTTGCAGTTTGTTGGAGGGTAGATCTTAAGTGTTGTCACAGCAGGAAGAGAAAAAAAAAGGAGGAGGAGGAGGCAGAGGAGGAGGAGGAGGAGGTTCCTAGGTAAGGCAGTGGGTATGCTGATTAGCCTGATTATCATGATCATTTCACAATGAATATCCACAGATTAAATATCAATTTATTTACAGCTTTTGCCCATGATACCCCAATAAAGCTGAACAAAAAGGAGTTGCAGAGGGTGCTGAGGCTCACTGCTTTGGGGTGGAACACTGTCTGGTTCATCCCCTATCTGCACGACATCCCTTCCCTATCCCTCATATGCTGCAGATGTTCACTGTTTGCTGAACAAATAAATAGACGCTCTGTGAGCAAAAAGATTGCATCGTCCAGCAACTCCACCTTTCCTGATTACCCTTTTCTAGCATTCCCATGACCAGGATACTTCTTTTGAAAAACAGGTGTGAATGATTTTTCCCCATGGCTGCAGTGTGTGGCATTGGTGATTGTATTCGGAAACTGAAGACAGGAAGAAAACCCAGCCAACACACTTCCTAGCATGATGATGTCTGTTCCACACAGTCAGAAAACACAGAGCTTACCTGAATCGATGCTTTGCAGCAGTGCGTAGAAATTTGGGAAGTACTGGAGCTCCTCAAAGTTCTCCTCGCTGTAGGTTTTGGTTCTCCTTTCCAAGCCATTCGCCAACGTCAACGTATTGGATACGGTTTCATCACTTTCTCCATTTGTAAAACCATTTTGCACTATTGCCTTCGGAGTCTCCAGTAAGGGAGGGGAAAAAAATCAATAAAAGTAAGCATCTGATTAGAACTCATGAAACACTAGCTCAATTCCTTTCTCCGCAGTGTCCTTAATGTGAGGGCAGGAATCCCCTCTCCTGGGCAGTGCAAATCTGCAGAAAAGCCACCGGCACCCACAGAAAAGTGCTCTGCCTGGAGGACCCCAGAGGCCCCAGCTCTGCTCAGAGAGGACAGACAAGCGACACTGGTGCTCCCGCACGTCGCTCCTCACCAACTGCCTCTCTGAGGAAGACAGCTGAGGATCACACCTCTGCCCAGGGCAGCTGGGGAGCTCGTAGGACACACACCCAGCAGCAGGTGGTCACACCAGGGACTTCTGGGTAAGATTTTAGCAGCTGTCTGGATGGGTGTATAATATTTTTTTCTTCAAGATCTGATTTTGTTCGTTGTTCCCCGCCTTAGGGATGGTCCATTTGCCATTCCACGGACCAGATGGGAATCTGAGCTTTTCCTACATCTCTTCTTCTTCCTTTCCATCTATTCCACCGTGGCTTTGTTGGTCCTACTTCCCAACGCCACAGCAAATCTCTCCCTCTCGCTCTTTCTCTCTTTTTCTCCCCACCCTGACCCCTCACCCAGGTCTCTACCCACTCTACTCCCAGCAGCCTTCATCTCTCTCTTTCTAACTGGCTCCCCATCCCTCTCAAATCTCTCCTGGACGCTCATTTTCTGCATGGTAGCCAGAGTTACATTTTTGACAGTCTACCCCGAAATGGCTTGGCTTAAAATCTGCTCTGGCTGAGATGCAGTTTGGGTTTGTCTGCCGAAACTCTTGCCTACAGGCTGTACCCCGGCTGGGAGTGGTGATGTCTCTCCTGGGCGCGGGCAGTGCTTGGGGCGCCCAATCAGCTCCTGGGAATGGGCCAGCAGCTGCCCGAGCCAGCGGTCCTCCAGCAAGCCAGCAGCCCCTCGCACACTTGTGCCCTCTGTGTTTCCACCGTGAGTGGGGAACAGCACAAGGCTCGAACCTTCCAGCCTTAGAACCGCAAGCTAAATAAACCTCTTTTCTTTATAAATTACAACACAATCTTCTGATGTTTGCCATGGCTTTCCTGGCCTCGTTCCTTCCTCTGTCTTCCTGTGTCAGCGCTGCACTGCTTGGTACCTAGGCTGCCCACACTGCCTGCTGCCCCTCGTGTTCACATGCTGGCTCCAAGCTCGGTCACCTGCCTGGGCAGCACAGATTCCTCTCTAGGAGGCCTCGAATGCTGTCGTGGTGGAAATGAGGGCTGTTTGAGGACTGCACGCCCCTCCCCAGACCAGTACCTTTGCGAAGTCGGGCAGCCACCCTTGGAAATGAGCACACATCTCCAGTGCTCGGTACACAGGTGGCACTCAACAGAGAGGCGATGCAAGCAAGGTCATGAAAATAGCTGCCTCAGTTTCGTTTCAGAGCCATAAGCTTGAGTCATGAGTTCTTTGATAAATCTACAAAGTGTGGGGTTTTTTTAGACAGAGTAGATGGTTAAAAGCTGTTTAAAAAGATTGCAGTGGGGACTGAAAGTAGAGAGAGTTTTTAGGCTAGCTGGTGAAAAAACAGACCTGATTTCTATTTTGCAGCCTCTCTAATACAGAACCCCAAGACTGTTCTCCTGCTTTAATTGGAAATCGGCTGCTGGAGGAGAGGAGGACCAGGGTTCAGGAAAACCAGAGAGGCAAGGAGTTGGATATCTCCCCAGGGCTGGCGAGAATTCATGGAGCGGGCAAAGATCTCATCGGTTGGTCAGTGCCAAGGAAAATGGACAGCACTGACTGCAAATGGAAACTGAATTCCAGGAGAGCTTTGTGGGGTTGGCTCCAGTCCACAGCTGTTATGATGTGATATGGTTATTTCACATACTAAGTGTTTCTACAGTGTGGCATAACAGGTAACCTTTACTATATAATACACTAGGAAATGTAACCTCCAAATTATTTCCACAGTGGAGTACACATCTTTTACCTTACTGGTGTTTTACGAATACATATTTCAAGTGGACTAACATGCTGCATGCTCCAAACTTTCTTTGGCATCAAGTAAGGTACTAATTATACACACACACACACACACACACGTGCACACATGCACGTGCACATGCACATTTATACAAGCCGTAACACACATACACATACCACTCTCCCTGGTGTTTTGCCAGCCTGGTTCTCTGTCCTGCTTGTGGATTTATTGAGCTCCTCTTCATAATTGTTGGCTTCTTTTGAAATTAATTTTTGTAAAGCTTCTGCTACTTCATCTTCCAGCGTGTGTGCCTGGCTTTCTGTGATCTATTACAAAGGGGAAATACATATATAACTGCTATTCTCATGCTTGTGATTAAGAAAAGTTACACTAAGCTCTGTACTGAATGTACACATTTAGGACTCTTTGGAATCTTTCTGGAGAATCCCATGCCTGTGTCACACGCTGGCTTGGGGCTGTCAACCTGCCTGTGGAAACGAAGGGAGCTTACTTTGAAAGACAGCTCAGGAGCTTCTCCTCCATGGCCCCGGGTTGGGCCAGCGTGGCACTCTGTAAAGTTAACATCTTCCTACACCTGTCGGGCTGGTCGGCTAGGCTGTGGCTGGGTAATGTTAGATTGCTGAGTTTCTTACACACATCACCTGCCATTGTTCCTGTTTCCCTTTATTGCCACATATATCTTCTATCTTGCCAGGGACATGCCAGCTGCCCTTCTGAGATCCCTCAAACTCCTCTTCGTGGGAAGCCTCTCCTTACCCAGGTGCACTCTCTGGTCTGTGGGATGCCTGGGCGTGGGCTTGTGTGCTCATCTAGTTTTTCTGGTAAACTATACAGCCCTCAAGAGTAGCCTACTCTTATAGAACAAAGTAAATGTGTTATGAACATCTGGGTGCTTGAGTTGAGGTCAGGTTACCTGGCTCCCTACTTACTAGGCCAAGATTCAACAGTTTAGAAACAATCTTGTCGAACACTCCTCTGTCATTCTCCTCATAAATCCTGGTAGCGATCTTATGGACAATGTCATCAGCAGTTAAAGGGGTCCCATCCAGTTGATGAAGGCCATCTGGGTCATCTAGGCAGAACAACCACAGTGTATTATCATCCATGCCTGGCTTTTCCACTCAAATATGTTTGTGACATATTTATGGTGATCCTCAGCCTGCATAAACTCTTGGTTTGAAACAAAATTGGGCTGCAGGCAAACAACCCAGATGACAATGGAAATTCCAGAAGCTTAAGTGGCTGTAAAAGCTAAAGACAGCACAAAATACCTCTCCATTTATTATTATCACCAATAATGAAACAATACTTTTTATATACACAATATGCTATATTTATATACCATATTATTCAAATATAACATATTAAATTATTCGATTTGTTGTAATATACAATTTCACATTCTACTTCTGCACTCGGGGTAGGTGGGTGACACGTCTTCTTGTCTTCCCTCTGCAGACAAGTCCCTGGGTTAGGGGTGGGGGAATCAGCCTCACATGCAGAGCCACAGTGTAAACAGAAGATTTTTATTACTTACCCGGGGTAAATATTTACTTCTAATTGAACACAGGTCAGAGTTATCTTCATGTAAGGTAAGCTTAACATGACAAGTCCCAATCATAAGAAAATGGGGAATTGATTTTATAAGCCTGAATTGGAGCAACAGATCTGCACAAAGCAATATGTGAATCTTTGCAGAGAAGGATGCAAGGATGCTTCCTCAGCTTTAGTGGGATGCATGTGGCAGCAGCACTTCAGACCCCGAGGAAGGGTTGGGCCATGGAGCTTTGTACACCCTCCATGGGGAGCCCCCAGGACTCTGTTAAGTCTTCTCACCTTGACGAGATCCAATGTGCGAGGCACTTGAGTCTCCCTGCCACCTTCAGGAAGATCGAAAGGGCCAGAATTGAAGCCTGAAAATATCCTAATTTCATGGGATTTTGTGAGGATTGGTTGACATAAGATGAAAAATTACCTTTGAGTCTTACAGTTCTATACGAAAGCAAGTACAGTGCTATAATTCTGTATAGTAGATTTGGATTTTGAAATAAACTATAGTTATCTTCTAGAGAAAGTAGAAATTGAATATCTGGCCAGACTTTGCCCAAATAATTCTCATCATATTCATTCAAAAAAAAGAACACTTTTGTATTTCCACCCTGATTGATTGTGCCCTTTTCTTCAAGCCTTTTGGGGATTTGGACAAAAAATTTCTCCTGTGGCCTTTCTTCAGACTCTGTGGAAATGGTGGCATTCGCAGCCTCTAGGAAGATACCTTGGGAAGAAGCTCAAGTAAACAAATGGGCTAGTCACACATAGAGAATGGCAAATTTTATGTGGTGCATAACTGCAGAGATAGGAGCCCCGAAAGCCCCAAGAACCAGAGTGCCAAAGAAGCAGAGAAGAGCCAAAGGGGTGAAAAAACCCATAAAATAGTCCCCCTCCTAGGTTTCTGGAAATTGGGCTTATTGCCTGTTTTCCAGGAGCAGAGACTGACTAGCATGTAGGTCTGAGTTTTTCCATTTGTGGGCTGCGAGCCAGGCTCTTGGAAACACATACAACCTTGGTCCATGCAGAGGCAGAAGAATTTGTCTCATCCCCTGATCCCTCAGGATCAGAAAAAGGAAATCTCGATTGCCCACAGCTGGAAAATAATTGTGATGACTTTCTCAGTTCATTTAGTTCACAACAGGGAGTGTTAGAAATACACTGCACTGTGTGTCCTCTGGTGGCAGGAACCTCAGTTTCTCAGGGCAGATATTTCCACATGGGGTTAATAATGGAGCCCTTAGCCATAGTGCTTTCCCTTCTACCAGCTTCCCCTGGCACTTCTAAAATGGACAGAGGAACCCACAGTGCCTTCCTCTATTCTGCTATTACACAATAATGCATAATGAGGCCAGGGATTTAGCTCAGTGGTTCTGCTGCCTGCCTTGCAAGCATAAGGACCCAAGTTTGATTCCCAGTAAAAACAACAACAAAAAGAATAACTCATAATTACCCCAGCAAAGGGTATTCACCCTCCGTCTGCCCTCAGAAAGAAGCCATTCCTGTCATTAAGCAGCCATGACATCTTGATTGGACGACAAAAGGCTGCATTCCAACTCATTATCTGCTCACTTATATTCTGAATCCCCAGAAGCTAATATAATACTTGGAATTCTTTTGCTCCATAATTTTTTTATTAAAGTCTTAATCTAGGTCAGGGATAGTTCTTGACTGCACAGAGCTCACTATCTAGTTCACAATCTGAAGCAGTAACTATATGATAAATGTTGGGATTGTCAATTGTGAGAAGTCAACTTGACTCAAGAACCATCTACAGGTCAGTGAATTTCAGGTATGTCTGTGGATGATTGATAGGTAGGCTGCAAATTGAGGGGGAAAGGCCCACTGTGGATGTGTGTGACACCAGCCAGTAGGCTCGAAGTCTGGACAGAATAAAAAAGGAAAGAAGTGCTTCCTTTCTCTTCAGAGGAGCGCTAGTCTCCGCTACTGCCTTTGGATGTTGGTCTTTAGTTCCTTCAGTCTTCCAGCACCGACTCATCAACCTTCTAGTGCAGACTCTTCTGCTTTCCAACGCGCATGGCGACTGCAGTGACCTTCCAGGCCTTCAGCCTTGAGCTGCCAGTGCACGGATAGCCATCTGGGATTCTTACCTCTCTGATCCAGCAGATAGCCACTACGATTCTTCTGATTTCACCATACATACATTTTATCTTGATTCTGTTCCTCTAGAGAGCCCTAACTAATACAGATAAACAAAGGAGCCCCAAAGAACCATCATGTAAAAGAAACCTGGAAAAATCCTGAGCCATGCATGCCGCAGAAAATACTGCAAGAATGGATGGGCCCATGGGACAAGGCTCTTTTGAGGATTCCTAAAGGTGTATTTAGGTCTGGGAACATCACCCAGCCTTCCAGATGAAGTCTGCCTGCCCCTGAATCCCATTCACCTTTGACTCCAATCCCTCTTATTCTAGACTTCTAAGCCACAAGGGGAGACTAGAAGCTCACCCATAAACTTAAAGCCACCCAGCCGGGTATGGTGGCTCACCCCTGTAATCTCAGCACTTGGGAGGCAGAAACAGGAGGACTGCCATGAGTTTGAGGCCAGCCTGAACTACAAAGTGATGCCCTGTTTCAAAAACAAACAAACAAAAAACTGGATGACAAAAGCCGTCTGGACTAGCACTTGGCATTTCCAAGCCTACTTGAGATGGTATGAAATGTTGGACGATTTAAAAATCAGTTGTTCAAGTTAGAGGTAAAATCATAAACAATCCAAGTCCCTGCCAGGATGGATAGCTGGCAATGATCAATCCAGTCAAGCAGTAGATTGTTTATTTTACTAAACCAAAAGGTCAATTTGGTCAAAGTGCTTAAATCTGTTTTGAATGCAGTTACACCTGGTGTCTATTTCTAATCCCAGTATTTTAGGTTAAAAAGTAGAATTCATGATTTTTAAAAATATTGCTAAACTGGGCTGGTGGCACACGCTTGTAATCCCAGCACTGGGGAGGCTGAGGTAGGAAGATTGCCATGAGTTTGAGGCCAGCCTAGGCTACACAGTGAGGTCAAGGTCAGCCTGAAGTCCTTGAGATTTCCTCAACGCCCCCCACAAAGTCCTCAAGTAGCATAAATCAGGACACATGGCAACATACCAGTGCCCCACGCCACTCTACAGATGTACCAAACACTTCTGAATGCTCCTCAGGCCGCGATGGCCTAGGAAAGTCAGATTTCACTGACTGTGTTGTTTTCTGGCAATCAGAAATAATCACCATGATTCTCTCATTGCTATGGAACAAAATCAAGACATAAAATTTCTTCTATACTCACTCCGAAGCACTGGTCTGCAGGATGGAAACAGCTCTCCTGCTCAGTGCCAAGGTACAGCACTTCACTAATTTCTCAGGTATTCTTTCCCATTCATTCACAAAGTTGCTCAGTGAATTCATGAGCACGCAGGCACTGGGCCGTAATGCTTCTGTTCTTGGGAATTTGGGGATTTAGTTTTTAGAAAGACATTCATCACAGGAAGCTACATTCACAAATGTGAAGTTACAAACTGCATTCAATGCCACAAAAGAAAGGAGGCACGTTTCTGTCAGATCACCCGTGCTGGATGAACCCGGAAATGCCGACAGGAACCAGTCCATGAAAGGGACTGTGGATGCCACTTGAGGGTTTTGGGTTTTGTCCCAAGAGGAATGAAAATCTACTGACAGTTTTAAGCAAAAGAACAACACACTCACATTCGCACATCCCAGAGGCCACTCTGGTGGCCGCATCAAGTACAGGCGGAAGAGCAGCAGAGTGGTTGCTGCGAGCCCTGTAGAAGCTTTCGCTACAGTGCAAGTGAGACACAACTGGAGACTGGGCAAGGGTGGTTGTGACTGGGAATTGTTTAGCTTTCTCCATGGTAGAGAAAATAAACTGATCTATTGGAGGTAAGGCTGATAAAATTTGGCAGATTAGAATTTCAGAAGTAAAGAAACAGTTTAATTCTAGATGTCTATCTTAAGAAATTGTATAAATAGCAGCATATTTCCTAAAGAAAGATTATGCTTGGGCCAGGATGCAGCTCAGTGGCAAGGAGCAAGGTCCTTGGCAAGTGCAAGGTCCTGAGTTCAATCTCTAGTATGGGGGGTGGGGAAAATATGCTGAGCCATGCTGAGACCCAGTGGTACAAACCTGCAAACCCAGCACTCGGAAGGCTGAGGCAGGAAGACTGCTGTGAGTTTGAGGCCAGCATGGGCTCCATAGTGAGTTCAAGATCAGCCTGAACTACAAAGCGAAACCCTGTCTCAAGCAAGCAAGCAAGCAAACAGTCACATTAGGGCTAGTAGGTGGGCAGAGATCATGAGTTTAATCTTGCACTTGTCAAGTTTCAGGAGCATCTAAGACTTCCAAGGCAAGATGTCAGGTTACATAGACAAATGGGTCTGCAGCTCACAAAAGTCTGGGTGAGTAAGAATATCAGGGTACAGAAGGCATACCAAACCATAGAAACGTTAGGAAGACCAAAGGAGAAAGGATATTGCTAGGAGGAAAATATTAAAAAGAAAATAGCAATATTTTACTTTGGGGGAGTGTTTTACTGATCTAATTATTTGAGAATTATTGATAGTTTGTGCTAACTGCTAAAATAAACTGAAATATTAAATGAATCTACTAATGTAACATAGATAGTAGATTTTAAGCATCAATAAAGAATCCTCTGAGGAGAAAATAAAAGTTCAGGATTTTATGAAGCAAGATTTTTGCACATTATCAGTAAATCTGAGCTTTATCTCAATTTGATTAATAAAAATTATGAATGTATAAAGGATACTTTAAAAATATGGACTCTATCATGAGAAACTCCAAATTAGAAAAAATAGGTAGCAAAAAGTTTTTTGATATCATTTACCTTGAAATTTATGATCCAATCCACTCTTAGTAGAATCATAATCATCAATCGGTTTTCGATTCTTGGTTGAATCGACATCTTCCACATTCAATTTATTATCAAATGGGGAGCTTCTTATGGATTGCTTTTCTTTCTCAATTTTTTCCTTTTCTGTTATTGCCTTTAGCAGGTTCAAGTTATCAACAAAAGAATAATTGCTTTCACCTGGTGTGTTTTCTGGAAAAAAATGTCCCAAGCCCAATATATCCATTTTAGAATAGATTCTCATAACCTGTGCTATTTAAGTGAATATTGATGCAATTTCTCTTTACCTGGTGGGGATATGTTTTTAAGCTTGTCTGCTTCCGCTTCAGCAATCTGTGAAACAACAGGAGACAGATCTGGTTTTAAACCATCACTTCACTACCAAGTATAAGAGCCAAAGGATTTAGTCTCTATGGATTTAGTTTTTTTTTTAAATAAAACGTGGATAATGATTCCTATCTCAAAGCATTGTTATAAGGATTAAATGAGATGAAATAAAGGGTAGGTACCCTGTGAGTGTCAATTCCTTTCTCCTAGAAGAGTGGTAAGAGATAAATTAAGCAGACTTAGAGTGGCTGTGGTATTGGGCTTGCTAAGCTATCACACACTTCGTGCTGTGTATTACACAAAACTCATTAAACACAACTCTTAAGGCATAGGAATCACCAGAACTAGACTTCCCATCCTAGTTTCTGTCAATTTAAAAGTAAACTTCTGGTTTGTAAATTTAAAAATGGCAAAAATGTCACAGTACAATCACAATAATGACTAAAGCAAAACAAAATAGCATTTACAATATTATTTTTGACCTACCTGTTCATTCAAAGGTCTTTCTGCACTTAATTCTCTGTTATGTAGAGATTTGTCTAGAATAAGGATACACAAATTTAATTATGCATCGGAAAGATACGGCATGTCTCATTGAAACTTTTTTTAAAAGGGCAGAAAAAACAGCTATTGGAAGAAACACTTTTGGATGCCCACAAAACACATTTGTTAACATGGATCGCCAGCCAAAGGTGCACAGCGACAGTGGCCGTCTGCGTGGCCTTGCTACTTCGCTGGTGCGTTTCCTGAGTTAACAGCATCGCATCTTTCCCCTGCCCAGAAATGCAGTGCAGTTCTAACGCTTGGCTCTCCAGCGGTCCTCCGCTAGAGCCAGCATGATTTGAACTGGCATCGCTGGCACACTGGAAGCTCCTTCCTCCTGGTGCACATGCTATGAATAGACTATGAGAAGCTTGTAAAACTAGAAAAAGAAAAGAAAAGAAAGGAAAAGAAAAAAATCCAACCACTTTGGACGGAACAGCCGCTGCCTCCCTTCTTCCACACAAGAGCTCTAAAACCGTCCGGTCCACGGCCGCTCTGTGCCTCGGGTGCGGCCTCGCGCCGACAGGAGGCGGGCAGGGAG